GGCAGCCGGGGGTGGCAGCCCGTCCCCATCCCTGTCCTCTCTCTGGCCACCTGGCCGGCTCCTCATCCTGCCGTTTCCCCGCTCCAGCGCGGTTCTCCGGGGACGCCTCGCTCTTCCTGTTCTCCTGACGGGAGAAGAGAAATCTGGAGTCTGTCTGCGCCGCTCCCCCCTCCTCCCACCACGTCTCACCCCCCAAGTTGCTGTTTTCCGCAGAAATGTCAGTCTCGGCTCTCCTCTCCCCCACTCCTCCTGTTTTTTTTTTTCCCTCTAATCTTGGCCTTCATCTCCAATTACTTCTTTCTCTCCTCCCTCTCTCTCCAGAGACCCTGATGGACACGAAGTGGGTGACCTCTGAGTTGGCATGGACAACTCATCCAGAGACGGGGGTAAGTCTGAAGCCAGCCCCGGCCCCGACTTCCAAAGGGTACGGCTGGCCCTTGCTCCACGGGAATTGGGGCTGCTGCCAGTGCCTTTGCAGAGCTGGCTGCATCTTCCCCTTTCCCTCCTGTGCTTATCCTCTTGTCTCATGAAACCATCTCCTTGCCTCCATGCCAGCAGAGCGGGAGCATCGTGGTCCCTGGCCTGTGTTGCTGTTAGTCACCTTGATGACCAGGAGGGTTGGGATGGGTGGAGATGCAGCTGCTGCTCTTCCCCATTGACTGTTGCCCAGTCCCCCCCACCCCACGCTGTTCACAATGTGTCTGTGGCACTGATCTCCCCGGCTGGGGGTCTAACCCGCTCCCTTTTCACTTGCAGTGGGAAGAAGTCAGCGGTTACGACGAGGCCATGAACCCCATCCGCACGTACCAGGTGTGCAACGTGCGGGAGGCCAACCAGAACAACTGGCTTCGCACCAAGTTCATCCAGCGCCAGGACGTCCAGCGCGTCTACGTGGAGCTAAAGTTCACGGTGCGGGACTGCAACAGCATCCCCAACATCCCTGGCTCCTGCAAAGAGACCTTCAACCTCTTCTATTATGAGTCGGATACGGATTCTGCCTCTGCAAATAGCCCTTTCTGGATGGAGAACCCCTATATCAAAGTGGATACAATTGCCCCAGATGAGAGCTTCTCCAAGCTGGAGTCTGGCCGTGTCAACACCAAGGTGCGCAGCTTTGGCCCTCTCTCCAAGAACGGTTTTTACCTGGCCTTCCAGGATCTGGGAGCCTGCATGTCCCTCATCTCCGTCCGGGCTTTCTACAAGAAATGCTCCAACACCATTGCTGGTTTTGCTATCTTCCCGGAGACTTTAACAGGGGCTGAGCCCACCTCGCTGGTCATCGCGCCAGGCACCTGCATCCCCAACGCAGTGGAGGTGTCTGTACCCCTAAAGCTGTACTGCAATGGTGACGGCGAGTGGATGGTACCTGTGGGAGCCTGTACGTGTGCCGCTGGATATGAGCCGACCATGAAGGATACCCAGTGCCAAGGTATGTGTGTGGCGGATTGACTGTGGCTCTTGTCCCCACAGACGCCTTGATACGGAGGGGGCGGTTTTGCGTTGAGCTCGGTCTGTTTTCGGAGCCTTGGGGGCTGGGCAGCCTCCCTGAGGAGGGAGCAGGGTGGTGTTTCAGAGGACTGGTCTGCAGTTTGACTCAGCATCTGGAAGCCTTAAAGCCTTCATGGTCCGGACCGGTGCGGTGTCTGCTGTGACATGCTGCTTCGCGTCAGCCGGTGCTGTCCTCTGCGGGATGCATCTCCTCACCAGGAGCCGTGGCTCAAGGCATGGTCCTCAGTGGGGATCCAGCCCATTTAAGCTTTCAGGCATTACCAAAACCTCCTTCTCGCCCCTGCTGCCATGTCCAGTGTCTCCCCTCTCTCCCTCCTGCAGTGCTCGTGGCTGGAGCGAGCGATTGTCCCTGGCAAGCGTGATTTCACGCTGCTTGTGCGGAGGCAGGCGGAAACCCCGGTGGTGAGCGGCACCCCGCCGCGCTGGCTGCGGGAGAAGCC